GGATAAAATCGAGGAACGACAAGATAAAATCGAAGAGCTAATTCAGGAGAAAGTCGAGGCTAAGGTAGAAGAGTTGGAAGGTCGCCTCCGAGATATGCAGTTGAATCGCCCACCTTCTTCGACCAGCGCGCCCAAGGTAAAGACTCCATCCTTTGACGGCACGATTCCTTTCCAAGTCTTTAAGCTCCAGTTTGAGAAGACAGCTACAGCAAATCACTGGAGCATGGAGGATAAATCCGCTGCACTGTTCGTTGCATTAAAAGGACCTGCAGCGGAAATCTTGCAGACTATTCCTGATTGTGAAAGGAACAGTTACGATGCGTTAATGGGTGCAGTGGAAAGACGTTATGGTAGCGAGCACAGGAGACAGATTTACCAGATGGAGCTGGAAAATCGCTGCCAGAAATCCAATGAGACTCTACAGGAATTCGCCTCCGAGGTTGAAAGGTTGGCTCATTTGGCAATTGGAGATGCATCTGGTGAGCACCTCGAAAGAGTAAAAATCCAGAGGTTCATCAACGGAATGCGGGACGTGTATACCAAGCGCGAGACGTATGCAAATCCAAAGAAAACATTTGCTGAAACGGTCTCGTATGCTCAGACACGTGAAACGGCAGCGCTCCTAAGTAGACCAGCCTACAAAGCCCATCGAGTAGAAGTGGAAACACCTGACGTGATGAACGAGATCCTGAAAACACTCAAGTCGATGGCAGGGAAGAATACTCCTGGTACAACCGAGAGGAAGGATGGTGCTAGAAAATGTTTTAGCTGCGGAAAACCAGGCCACTTCGCACGCGAATGTAAGACGGGTTCCAACAGGTCAAACAGTTCAGCAGTACGTAAACGCAGGACTGAGGATGACGAGCCCAACTCCGACCAGTCGTTAAACTAAAACGAGCCAGCAGCAAGGGGCGCACGCTGGCTCCCGCAATTGAATGCCCCATAATCTCCGTCTCGAGAATTGGCAGAAAAGCGAGCAACGTTACTGTTGGTGGATATGTGGACGGACATGAGCGAGTACTAACTGTGGATACGGGCGCATCACATTCCATCATTCGATCTGATTTGGTCACTAAAGAGGTAAGGCCATTACCTGGAGCAAGGTTGAGGACAGCAACTGGTGAGGACACCCAAGTTGTAGGAGAGGTAACATGCAAAGTCGCAATAGGGAATGTGACGGTGTTACACAAGTTCATAGTCGCGGCGATTATGGATGAAGTCATCATTGGATTAGACTTTTTATTTGGTCAAGGCATGAAGATCGACATGAAGAACAGGATCATGACGTACGACAACATGGAAGTGCCCCTTAGGTTTGGGTATGATGGTCCGTACAGCAGCAAGCGAGTGATCCTAGAGGAAAGCGAGCAGATTCCACCGAAGTCAGAAGCAGTTGTGTGGGCAAAGATTGATGGAGATTGTG